GAATATTTTGACAGCTTACTTGAATGTCCACCAAATGTCAAAGCACATCACGTTTAACCAGAAGAAGCTTGCCATAAACGAGAAGTAAATGATGTAGGCTGAAACAGAATGAACAACTATTAATCACGCATTATGTTGTCGACAATAAGGCTTATGTTCGCCCGTGAAGAAACAGGTTTACTCTGCCTTTCTGCATCAGGAATTTATTTAGTCGAAAACGGGAAACCTTGATAATATACACTACATTGAATTAAACATTGCGATATAAATATTGTGTCAAAATCACGTAAAATCTTCCGCAAGAAGAAAAGGAAAAAAGATACTTATCCAAATAAAGTTCCAAGTTGAATGCATATCAAAATTTAAATTTTACCCGCTTTTTATTTCATTTCTTTCCCAAGGTTTTAATAAATTTTTACATTCAAATTATCGGGGGACAGAGAAATCATATTACATGCTGTATTATTATATGCTGTACCCAATATGATGCAGGCGGTATCCGATATTGACGTCCGTGCGGTTAGCTGAATTACCGCGAGGAACGTGTACGCGGCAAACAACGAGCCGACGTATCCACGCAGCGTGTAGCCGTGCATGTTCTGAAGCTCCGGCAGTATGGAATACACCACGAATGTCGTCAGTAGAAACGGCGAGGATATTATCAGACCCACATAATAATATACTTCCGGGAGGAACGATTCCAGAAAATTAATGCAAACAGCTATCTCGTACTTATCCCGTTGCGAGACGATGAGGCAGTATAAATCGGCATCGACAAGGTCTTTGATACGCGGTAGATACAGAGAGCCATTGAGGAGGAACATAAACGCGTCAACTGGTTCCTCGTCAGGATCAAGTACATAGCGTCCGACTTTCGGGCACGGATCGTGGACGGTCAGCTGAAAGATTTGGTCTACCTCGCCGATCGGTCCTTTCTCAAGCGACTCGTTCGTCGCCTGATCGTACACACCCGGAAAGGGATAACGCCCAACGTTCTCAGCAACGCATTGACCCTTGATCGTGCGAATGCCGAGGGGGCAGCAGAGCGAAATGCAGGTACTGTTTTCGCACATCTCGTACGGAACGACGTTGGTCTTATTATCATCTTTAGAGAACTTTCCGAGGAGCTCGTACGTTAAGTTGCTTCTGTCTTCGATCACATCTTGCATCAGGTTTCCACGGGGTTCATGTGCTGTGGAGTTGATCTTGTCATCTATAGAATTCGTACGAAGCTCCATCAACGTTTGATCGCCGCCCTCGCGATCCTTCGTGGAATGCGCGTGAAATTCATACCCCACCGAGTCATCATCCTCGTGTATACTCGTGGAGTTAAGACGGAGCTTGTACTGCACGCCGTCGTTACTCCTGATGGAATTTCCACGAGCGTTATAATGCAAAGTTTCCGCATCGCCGCTACGATTTATCGTGGTAACATTAGTATGAACCTGATATCGCACTGTGGAATTATTCCGCTCGTTGTCGCTCGTCGTCGTCGTGGAACTATTCAGCGGCTCGGAGGAGGAAGCGATGAACAGAAGCGTGCAATAGCAAAGCGCGAAATTTCGTCGACGCATCGTCGACCTGTTGACACGTCGAAATTCACTGACAACCGTCTTGGTTTTCTCTTCGTGCTTTAGTCAGATGTCCAGCGACTGCAACGATATCGCAAACTACGGAAACGAGAAAAATATGTGCGATGATATCGAAAACTACGGAAACGAAAAGGATACGCGTGATGATATCGTTGGCCGCGACAGCGACGCTTTTGTCCGAAGGACGAACCTATTTCGCAGCAAACGTACAAGTGCATGCCAGGAAGAAAATAACGATGAAAGAGAAGGTACCTCGTTAAAGCAGGTCCTCTTTTCGGCTGGGGATGTGGTGAACAGGACAACGGGGACGGACCTAGAGATGAATTTTTATAGTTTGCTTTCCGGAGTGTATGATTTAGAAAACCATGTGACCGCTGGTTTGCATTTATTTGTTTATAAGGGCTTTTAGTACTTTCTCAAGTCTAAGACGCACAAGCTTCCGGTTCGCCTCGCAGGAGCCGACGTGTGCAAGTAGTGCGGGAGAGTACGTGTTGTAGTGCTTTTTATTTTTTTTCTGTTCAATTTTTGTAATGTTCTCGTCTAATGTTTGTGATGGCACTTGTACACGAATATTTTGTGACCGTATAGAAACTGAGTGAAGAGCTACATTCTATATGTAATACAATAAATAAAATACAGCTCCCAGAAAGCTCAGTAAATACACTTCATAATAAATTAATAGAATCTTAAATTAAACGTGAAGATGCTCGATTTAAAGTCTATCTCAAGGATTTTCAAAATACATATTGTAATACTATCACGTGTATATGATAAAATATACGGCTGATATTTGACACAGGTCGGTATTTGCATCGCACATTTGTTGCGCGATAAAATACTATCTTAAAAATTATGTATCCATATAAACATGTGTGTTTAAGATATGTTTATTATATATATATTTTTTTTCTTGAATTTATTTAATAACATTAAATACTTATGCGTGCGGTGGAAATGTAGACCGAGTGTCAATGTAATGACAATAATTATAGAAAAAGAAAATGTAAGATAGTCTCTTTCGTGCACCAGTAATAATGTACTAGATTTGAAGTTAAAATTAGTAAAATTGTCTGTAGCCTTTTTACCGCGACATTATGGTGTAATGATAACGTAATAATAAATCTCCACATATGAAATAAAATTTATACAAAATTATGTACATGATATACACTTTTTTTTTTGTTACTTCAATGAGGACGATAATAGATGCAGAGCAACTAATGTCTTTAATTTCCTTTAGACTGCAAAAGAGATAAAAGAAAATCTTGTAAGTACATTTTAAAAAAATATAAAAAACGATGGAAATCACCAATCTCGTGCGTTCCAAACAAAGAGATCGACGCGAGCAACGTAACATTAATTCTCGAGTAGAAATAATAAAGTTACATCATCGCCTAATTATTGCTTATTCTTCTGATTCATAATTAGTGTAATCCTAGTCTCACGTGGCAATATTAATCAGCCTCATCGGACGAACTCTTCATGCGGCAATTTGTTTGCACGTAGGGATTGACCTCCTGCAGCGACATCATTCCCGACGTGGTAGTGCAGGTGCGCGAGGCTGAGCTATGACAGCCGCTACGCGTCAAATTTCTGGAGAACAGACCACGATTCTGGCAACCGAATCGCTTTAGCAGCAGTCGCTTGATCTTTTTTTTCCACACGAATATAATGAAGATGATGAGACCATGCAGGATGTCTATCAGATCGATGAGATACCAAACGTACGGCGGCACGTCCTCTAATAGCCATGATATCATTTCCATGGTCCATGGTATGCCCATGGTGGATATGCCCATCACGATGAACAACTTCAGATAGAGATTGCACCTGCGTGTGAATACGTTTTCTTCTATAATTTAGAATTATTAAAACAAAGAGCTTCGTGATACATCGGCGTATAATTATATATTAATATGATTATCAATAACGTATCAGTGTAAAGGTGCTTGTATACACACCATTGCTTATTATCATCGTGGCGTCTGCTTTCCGAGCTTCTCAAATGAGCAGCTGTGTCCTTCTTGTGACGCACAATTTTTAGTGCAGTAGAGATAAACAGGCAAATGTTGCAGATAAGGGTGACACCCATGGGTCCGTAAAAATATATCGCCGCCGCCTCGTCCGCTGAAACAGAGAATTAAATTTCTTGCATTCTTTTACGTCGCATTTTGTAAGCGCTTAATTTTTACAAATCTCAAATTTGGTCTTGATAAAATGTATGATTTTAATAGAACGTCATAAGCTATTAGGACCAGTTTCACAAGTGTCGGTTAACTTTTAATCTTAGATTAACTCACTCTTCGTCTTTTTCTAAGGGGGACGTTAGAAGGAGGCAAAGAGTGAGTTAATCTAAGATTAAAAGTTAACCGACACTTGTGAAACTGGGTCTTAGTAAACGTTCACTTACTATTGAACCAATTACAGTTCGTTTTACCGAACTCTGGTCGGATCAATTCTTTTGGCACGCTGGGAACAAAATCCATGATGACACAAATGACGGTAAGAATGGAAGCGCTTCCCCACGCGTAAATCGAATACATAACGAAATTTTTTCTCTCTCGTTGCTTCACGCTTCCTTGTAACGAACGGAATCCTCTGCAAAATGTAATTCACATGCCATAATGTTGCCAGCAACAAGTAGAACAGGTCAGCATGCAAATATAAATTAAAACTATTATCGCTTTTGGTCGCTTCTTGGAAATATGACCGATGCGTTGAATTTTGTTTAATACGTTTTATGTAAGCGGTGTGCGACTATGGTACGTAATTGATAATTGAAAATTATTACTATTTCGAATTTATGCATAATGAGAAAGAATGAAAGAACAAAGGATGCGCGCATCACGTGTCGCAGGCATGACCAGAAGAACGTACGATTTAAATGTATCGATAACGTTAAACGACTGATAAAATGATCATCGCGACACGAATGATGATTTATAAACTTGTATCGCAATCGTTTCTTAATCTCATTTTAGAAAATACGTTGAGACGGCTCCGTTAATGTAAACGAACTTGTATATTTATTAATAATTAATAAGTCATAGATAAATAAGCGTGTTCGACGTATTCACGCAGCGTGAATACCAACGTTCGGGGATACGGTTTACTGACATTTTCCGTTTACCCGAATATTGCTTGTCCGAACGATATCTCGGACCGACGTCCAACCGCGAAGGGGATCAAAATTAACTCGGTTGTCTTTACACTACATACGCGCGCCGGTCACGTACCAGATATTAATTTATTGTATCCTGTCGCTATCAATTTTCCCTAGTGTTTGTCAATTATCAAATTTCTTTACCACAAGCGCCGGATCAAGTGGCGCTTGCGAAAATATTTGGCGAATCAATAGACTCATTTTGACCTAGAACTCGATCCACGTTTTATTTTTAATAATCCGTAATTATAATGTTTGATCATAATTATAAATAAATATAAAATATTAATTTTATCCTAATTTTTATTTTTTTTCTAATTGTTACAACAAGAAATATCACAGATTGTGTTTAGAATGTAATTTAATTGCAGAAAAATGTAGTATGGAATATTTCGATAGCTTACCCGAATGTCCACCAAATGTCAAAACACATCACGTTTAACCAGAAGAAGCTTGCC